GAGAATGAGAACGAGATCAAAACAAATTAAGTAATTCTATAAAAATACCCTCCCCCCCATTAATTAAATATAAATAGGAAAAGATAAGGAGTAAACACTAAATTTGTGCGAATATTCGCCTAATTACAAATAATTAATGCCACAATATTGATGAGTTAAAGAGGCTAACAAACAAGTTAAAATCAACAAACAAGCAATTGAAATAAAAACTGTTTTGATAAATGTAATCACAAATTTAAAAGACTAAAGTTGTCTTGAAATTGTTCATTAATAGACATTTGCTACTGTATCCAAATATAAACAACCTTTAGTTGTTTGTACTGACTAAATGCATTGCACAAATTCCAAGCCTATAAATTCCCGTTCATTTGAGATTTTTGCATCTCAATCGTAGATACTCAGTAATGTCGGAGGAGGAATTATTCGGTAAAAATAGTCATAATTTGTGATTCGCTTTTAGCTTCGGGATCTTTCATTCCTTTTGCACAGCAATTGTATACCCACTTGGAATCTTCCCGTAAGTATATTTACCAAATAAGAATTGTCTTCTCGCTAAAATGTTCACTTGAAATCACATTCCATTATTGTTCCTAGATAAAAATAACAATCTATTTTTCTCACCATTGAGCATCTACTCATGTCTTGCCTTGGCTCTGTGTGGTGCATCTGACAAAACGTATCAGGACATCGCGCACACTCTTAATTTCGAAACCGCAAATCTACAAGAACTTGGTGACAGGCTTGCAGAAGTAAAGGCCAGTGACAAGTTGGACACTCTTAAGCTGGCTAATGGCATTTTCTGTGATGCTGGATTGGAAGTCCATCCTCTCTTCACGTCGGATGTTCAAACGTATTTCCATGCTGAAGGAAAGCAGGTAGATTTTGCGTCAAACTGTGAGGAAGCGAGAAAATACATTAATGAGTGGGTTGAGGAGCACACCGAAGAGAAGATTAAAGAGTTATTGTCAAGCGATTCAATTGACAATAGCATACGATTTGTCTTGGTAAACGCCATATATTTCAAAGGTAGTCTATCATCCCTGGTGTAATTTTTATGAATACACATGTTCAATCTAATTTTGTAATGCAGGAACTTGGAAGAAGGTATTTCACCGCGATTACACCCATGACATGCCTTTCCACACTCTGGATGGTAAGAAGGTAACCGTGCCAATGATGAAGACGCATGGAGTGTACGAAACATACATTTGTTCTGAGATTAGTGCTACTTGTGCCAAAATTCCGTTCAAGACGTAAGGTGCTATATATACTATACTAGTTAGTTTACCTACATAACATGTTTTGAATTTGCGTTGCATTTTCAGCTGCCATATGCTACTAGTTGTGCCCAAAGATAAGAAGGGTCTGCCACGTTTGTTGAAACATCTTTTGGACACTCGTCATCGTGAACACTTTGAAGCCCTCTTCATAACTTCGAATTATAATAAGGTTAGATATGACCTCTTATTGCCCAAATTCAAGCTTGGAACCAATGGAAAAGGTATGGATTTGAAGAAAATAGTCTCAGGAATGGGAGCTGCATCTATGTTTGATCCGAGTGAAGCCAAATTCGAACGAATCACAACGAAGGAAAGGCTTTGTGTGTCAGCGATGGTGCATAAAGCTATGATCGAGGTTAGCATGTGCTAATGAACGTCTTCTTAACTCTTAATTTAGTTTTATAAATGATGCTTACAAATGACATTAGTACTTGCACAAGCAACCACAATTTGATAGGTATTAGAAAAAGGTAATATCGAATTGGTATGTATTGCATTGTAGGTGAATGAAGAAGGGGCCGAGGCAGTTGCAGCCACAAAAATTTTGGGTGTGCCACTATCAACCCACCCCTGTATTAATGCTGATCATCCATTTCTCTTCTTCATTGTCACTGACAATGGATTTCCAGTATTTGCGGGTCATGTGATGAATCCATTGGAAGAATAGTTGAGTGATAGAATTGCCAATTCGACCACACATCTTGTTCTCATTTATTAATTGCCAACTTTATTTGATGCCATTGTTTCTATTTCATATTAATCGATATATCAAAGATGATTTTAAGCGATTAATAAAGTCTTCTTTTACTTCAAGCAAGTGAGCTCATTTTCTAGCTGTATGAATCACTCATTGAGCACAAATGTATTGGAATTTTAGAATGGGCAGGAATAGTTATTGTGATTTGCTTTTGTGGCAAACTCGTTGAAAGTGAACTAGTCTATAAAAGATGAAACCGCTCCTTAAATCCAAACGCAGTCTATAGAAGAGTGACCTTTCCATTTGTGAAGTAATTGAACTGTATTGGCCAAAAATTGGATGAATATTGTTCTGATCAGACAAATTTCAAGCTCGTCATTTTTGGAATACGTTAGATTGAAAGGGTGCGTGGAAGTTGAGATTTGCACAAGTTCATTTCTTAGCTCAAATGAAATTGTTGGAGAAGGTACTCTTTGATACCCAACATCCACAACCCTCTCTTCAACCCCCTCTTCAACTCCATCTTCAACCCTCTCGGGTTGGTTTTAAGTCTAGACTTAGGTAATTCGAGTTTGAGATAATATTCCCCTTCTACAAATCTAAAATTTTATACGATTTGAACAAGTTGAAGTCTCTACAAGATTACACTTCAAGTTGATACTAGTGATTACTCTAATGAAATGAAGCCACCATCGTTTACTAGATAGTTCTTATTCAGTGTCAGCAAATTGTCTTTGTTAGTTGGCAACTATGCACTTCCCAATGCACGAGCGAGTTGGTTCGGCGGAGTTGAGCATCTCGAAAGACCATTGTTAGCATTGATAGGTACTTCAATCATGAAAGATTGCTCACAGCAAGGGCTTTACTCGTGACTTTGTCATTTTTATCAGTGTTCGATTCCCTTATTGAATATGCGCTTTATTAAACTGCACGCAAACATATCTGATTTTTGGAAGTCACTCCGTGTTTGAGGAGCGTAAATGTTTGGTCTTGATTTCAGAAATTTCTCGACCAACCATCAGTCAATAGTAACTGCACGGTAAGATTAATTTAATTGAGCTTAAAGTCCAAACTCTTTTTCGTCTACTGGATATATTTTGCTTAGCTCATCTAAGGCTAGGAACGAATTACTACACTTTGATTTTGAATAACGACAATCGTTATCACTTGGTCACATTTTATTTGTGAAGTATCCGCCTTGACGTAATCTTTCTACCTCTTTTTCCATGAATTATTTTGTTTTAAACATTAAGTGTTTCGTTTCTCCCTCTTATAACTTTAATCAGTACTTATTCTCCTCGTTGAACCACCATCTTTGTCTTCTCTCACATTCTCAAAATGTCTGATGAAGCAGATTGTGAAGTAAATGAAATGAACGCATCTCTCTCTTGCCCTGCTTATGACTCACGAAATACACATGTCCGGGCCATCCAGTTGAGAAAATAACTTCCAAGTACAACAAATTAATTAGCAGAGAACTCAGTTCTATCTTACCTTCTCTCCAATAACATTGACGTTGCCGTTAAGTACCCAGAAAGCAATTGTTATGGCAT